GTTGGCGGACAAAAGTTATGTTTGACCCTAAAGGCTCAAAGGGGGGAGTGTGTCGGAAATTATGTAAATAAATTATGATTATTATTTGAGACTAGGAACTTATCGTTAAAGCGGAAAAAGGAACTTATGATTATTGAGTATTTTAGAAGGGACAAATTAAGACGGCATTGTCTTTTGTTGATGCCTGTGAACGAGTAAGGAGCATGAATTGGAATTGATGTATAACTTTGACTAGAAAATTAAATTGATGACATTTTGAGAATTGTGTTTGACTGCGCGCTAGCTTTAGATAGTAAGTATACAGTCCCATAGATAACCGGCGGCGGCATAACTGCTTTATTTCAGATTTACATTTAAAGGAGCTTTGATCATATGAAAAGATATTTATCATAACCAGTAAGCATGACACATGAACCAATTTTAACATTCATGTAATTATATAATTAAAGACATGTTGGTTACATTCTATTTGCATTTGTTAATACAATGTTACTAGTGACTGCTATATAGCACACCTTGCATATACTTACAGAAGATAATAGTCTAGTGAAATGCCTAATAAACATTGATGGCATGAAGATGTCCTTAATTGCAAATTTTCACTCTGATAATTTTTGCTTAATCTTTGGCTGAAAAATATTTTGAGTTTTTTCTCAAAAGGTGAATTTGCTGGCACTGTATGTGGAGATGGGTAAAGGGTTACAATAAACTTGCATGGTTTGAAGTCTGAGCTTTTCTATATCTATGAACTGTCTCTTGTAGTACCAAATTTCTAACTTAACTCATTACATAGAGGTTTGAATTGGGGTCTCTGGGTGGGGGAGAGGGTCTGTGCCTGACAATATGGTAGAAATTTTTGAAGACACTGTCTTTCTTGGAATAGCATTATTGTAAAATAAATTTTACGTTCCAAGACATGCTAATGAGCCATATATTTGGCATGATAATGAGCCTAAATATTTGGCAAAACATTCAAGTATTGTTCACTTCATTTTTTTTTTGAAAAAAACTTAAGCAAAATGTGTTGTTGTTACGCAAAAACGGTGCCCACAAAATACATTTTGTATTGCTCTAAAACGCTGAAAATGGCATTTTCAAGGATCTGAAATTCAAAATTTCTCAGAGGAGAATGCCTCAAACCCCTCAGGTGCGGAGCGCCTCCGACCTTTTATGACTGATGTTTGAAAAATTCTAGATCCGCCCCTGTTTGACTGCGCGCTAGCTTTAGATAGTATACAGTCCCATAGCGAACCGGCGGACGCATAACTGCTTTGTGCTAACGTGCGAAGGAGAAAGTTGCTACAGAAAGAACTGACACGCATAACTCACGCATTACAGACAAACGGCTACTTATACAAATTCATTTCAGTCATAACTAACAAAATGACACATGACAAGACGCCATCTCTCGAAGAATTAGTACGCGTATTTTTTAACATGGTCGGGCAGGAAAACTTTTCCACGCTATGCCGTTCTTCCATACATAAAGGACTTACTTAAGGAATGCGATATAAGAGTCACTAACAAACCACTTAAGACATTACAACAAGAATTCCCATCACACAAACACCGACCACCAATTGAATAGCAAACCGATGTCATCTATAAAATACCTTGCAAAGAATGCGATAAGAGTTCTATCGGTGAGACAGGAAGATATTTCCTTACAAGAAAAAAAGAGCACATGATGAGTATCAAATTGGGAAACACTCGGGGGTCAAACATCGCTATACATGCTTAGGACAATTATCATAAAATTGACTTTGAAAACGCTTGTATTATTGACAGAGGAAACTACAGAATATGAAAAAATTTAGAATCATGGCACACTGAAATATCCTAAAGCAGTTGATAACAACTCAAGACCACTTCCAGCGCAATATGCCTTTACTCATGGCCGATCTACTGTATCTGCTCTAATAGCTATGACACAAAATTGGTATAATGCAACAGATAATTCTCATTTAGGTAGAAAGGGAGTTCACGTATTATTTATAGATTTTCGAAAGGCGTTTGACATGGTGAATCACAATATATTACTACAAAAATTAGCATCTATGGAAATTAATAAGTCTTTCTGGCAATGGATTCGAAGTTTTTTGAGAGGAAGAACGCAACAAGTCAACCTACAAGGAGCCATGTCATCCATCCAACCTTGCCCTTTGGGCGTGCCACAAGGCGCTGTCATATCACCAGTGCTCTTTAATGTATATATAAATGATTTAGAGGACAATATTCCTAAAGAAATAGATGCTAATACATGTAAATATGCGGATGATTGCACTCAGAACCAGATTGTCGAAAGAGGTGAATGCAGTTCCATGCAAAAAGTAATCGACGAATTACGGAAATGGGCTGATAATAACCGAATGGCTCTGAATCCGAAAAAAACAAAGGATATGTGGATATGCTTTACGGACTCAATACAAGAACCACCCTCCCTATTTATTGGAGAAGAGGAAATAGAAAGAGTTACTAATTTCAAACTTCTTGGCGTAACATGTCAAAATGATCTTAAATGGAATGAACATGTACACCAAATTACAAGCAAGGCAAATAAAAGACTATATCATCTTCGACTTTGTAGGAAGTCTCAATTACCTTCAGATGTTGGATTATTAACATATACATCAAAAATAAGACCAGTATTAGAGTATGCATCGGCAGTCTGGGCAGGACTTCCACATTTTTTACAGCAAGAAATTGAACGTGTACAAAGAAGAAGTTTAAAAATTTTACAACTAGATAAAAACTACTTGCCCTCTTTAAAAAGCAGACGTGAACTAGCAACTATCCAAGAGATCAAAAGGATTATAGAGGAACCTGATCATCCATGCAAATTTTTAGTACCTTATCCCAAAGAAAATTCGCACAAGTTGCGTAAAAGCAAAACTTATAGTATTTTATCTCGGACCAAACGTCATAAACAATCTTTTATTGCTAGATCTTGTAAATATATATATAATAAAGTTAACATGTAATTTTTAGTATAGTATGAAAATATAGAAATTCAATGTAAATTCATCGTACTTTTTAATCTGAAGATGAATAATAAAAACCTTTAACCTTTAACCATTAACCAATATAAAATTCTTTTAAAAACAGTCACTATACCTATTACATAGAGCATTATATCATATTACTTTATTTTCGCTTTTTTATATATGCATTTATATAGTGTTTATATAGTGCTACATCCCTTTAATTTCTTTTATAACCGAAGGCTGTAGACAGACAGCAGAATGCTCGTTCAATAAAAAATTTTATATCAATGAACGTTTGACTGCATTGAGAACAATATTGTAGACATATCACTAGCAAGTAGCCTCGTAAAGTTTCTAAGAAGTTAACTGGGAAGAAATTAAATATAATTACAGTTTTTACCCATTTTGATTTGGTGCTTTCGATAAATATGAAATCATTAAAATATTTATATTACAATATATTATTTATAATTGAAGGTTGGATACATTCTTGCATTTTTTATACTTCTATACCATTTTTATACGACTTTCTTGTTAGCGATAAGTCGGACAATTGAAATGATTTATAGCTACACGGCTTTCAATGGCTACATGGCTTTCAATGGCTACATTTATAGCTACATGGCTTCAATAATAAATTTTATATTTAATAATTTATTTCATAATTATATTTAATAGGTTTTCTTCCCTGGGTATCCAAATCCATCATGCAAATATGATGAGGTACATTTACACGTGTTATGAAACTAAAACTTGGTTGTGTTAATGTGTAGCGTATCGCTTGAGTATGATAATTGAGTAGCTTATTAAAGGACTGTTAAAAACAAAAATTAAGACAGTTACGCATTAAATGCATCTATGCATTTCGGCAGACTTGTATAATAAGCTGCTATAGAAAGCAGAATCGACTTCTATTTATAATTTAGACAAGAAAATGTCACATAACACTGTGCAGGGAGAACTCCAAATTCGAGAATTGATTTTGTGATGCAAAGCTGTCACTTCAGGGGGAACAGGTGAAGTGAATACCATTTTTCAGTTTCATTGCGCAGCCACGTCCACTCAGCCAATTTAGTCAGAACTTGATGGCAAAAACACATTTATTTACATTAAGCAGGCAGTAACGCCCAAAAAAGTTCCCATATGAAAAATTGTTACAAAAAATGTTTTTGAGACATTACTCTATCAGAAAAAACGTTTTGGTAATGACTCTGATGTTGAACCTAAGTGCGAATACCAGTTGTAACAGCTGGATGTGTCTAATCTAGATGCGTTTGAAGAAAAATAAGAAAACGTCCTCGTCAGTCGGCTTATTCAAGTTCTTCTGCTTTACATTGTAAACATGTTCAAATTTACCGCCTTGTGTTTTTCCGCATCCTTTTTGTTTAAAGGCTGTTGCATTTTTAAAAACTCTGGCAAACATCGCTATTATTAGATTTTTATAAAACCGACTTTTAATAGCATCAATAAGAGTAGAACTATTAATTGTAGATAAGACATCATACCAACAGATATCAAGAATTATTTGTAAATATGACGTCAGAATTATAGATATCGGGAATTATTTGCAGGTAGTTAAACAATCAAAACTGACATTGTTTAAACTACCTTGAACTAAATTAAATTAATATTGATTAAGCTACCGTGTAAATATGTAATCGGATACTGGTGAGAAATTTTTGGCTGCCTAATACCGATTCTTTAAAATTGTTTACTGCAAATACAAAGTGTTAAAAGTGCGTTTGTTCAAAAAAGAAACTTTTTCATCTCTTTTTGAAAAATGAACGTAATACTGTATGCAATGTTTGTGCATAGTTAAATTTGACTTTTTGGCTCTTCATGTCAAAAATGGCTTTTTTGCAGTCGTTTAGTTTTGATGATAAAAATTGAATTTCAATAAATACAGTTTCAACTTTAGCTACTATATTTGTTTGTCATAAAGCATTTTTACGATTTATCATCTACCATGTACAAATGTACCGGTAAAGAGAGAAAACAACAGATATCTTGGCAAACCTGCTCTCTTCATTTCTACTTGACGTAGTGGCCTCATCTCTCTCCTCCATGGTAGGTAAATAATTCTAAAATCATAAAAATCATTAATATAACTGCTGTGATCAGTAGCGTGATGGCAAGGGGGCCAGGGAGGCCAGGACCCCACCAACTGTTGATTTTGGGGGCACTGAAGTGAATACGAGTCATCAAGTTTTAAATTTGGGCTATAAAAAATTAAAAACGCATTTGAAACAGAACAGTTATTTTCACCGTTATATATTCAGTGAATGAAGTTAGCTTTAGGGAATTAGGGAAGAAAGGAAAAAGACAGTCCAAAATGAAACCTTATCAGTGGGGTCGATTAACAGTCAATTAAAGAATAAAGTTATTGACGAGCATTCTAGAAATAGATGTTTTGTTTGTGGCCACAACGCCTGCATAATTTGTCACGATGACTGTAGACAACATACATGCAGGGGAGAAACTAGAACGCTAATTGAGGGGGGGGGGGCGAATATTCATATATTCAGCTTTGCCCTGCTGATTTCTATTGAATTTAACATCCTCGACAAAAGAAATCAGCAGTAGGGCAGAGCTGAATAGATGAATATGTACACCCCCACCCCACCCCAATTAGCGTTCTAGTTTCGCCTATGCATACACGGCCAAATTGTCCTCTCAAGGGGCGCAACAAGGCCTAAAAATGAGTAATTTTTTGCCTAACTTAATTAATATTTTTTGCTTCCTTCACAGACAGTAATCGTTACTGGCATTGTATCTTATTATTAATCCGAGCGTAATAATATATTTTTTTTAATTTTATGACAGTAGTGCAGTCATCGGTAGATTGCTATCATAATGCATAGTCTAACATGAAGTAGCACTTAATGATATTACAGCATGTACTGCAGTGTTCGTATTGTGTTATTTACATTTTTATCGTAACGACGACACATTTGTCAGTGGTAAATCAAGTTATCATAAGGTAAACCTTTTTTAAATCACTTAAAGGTGCATCGTAATTGTTCAAGGCTCATTTATCCGCAGTTATCGAATGTGCATAACAGCATATGCTTAATTTAAATTAAAATATTTTTTAAGCAACAACATTTAAAGACCAATTAAATTAATGTCTCAAAATGCAAAACTTTCTTTTTGGGCTTCCATTGCTGGCAATACAGATGTAATTCACAAAGTCACAAACATTTTATTTTATAATTCCATTTGCGTTGGGAAATCTATTATTATGTAATGTGCATCATGGATCATGGTGCACTGTTAAAGACTAACTGCAATGTCTAATTCTTTCAACACCACGAAGAGAAAAAAGTCGGGTGCTGAGTATCGAAAATTAAAGAAAGCTAGAAAAGAAGAATTTGCAAAACCTTAGGGAGTTTTGCTTGATTACTTTAAACCTATACAAAATAACCGACCATGCATTTGTCAGAAACAACAAAGGAGTTAGAATTAAAACTCAAGGAAACGCCGAATATCAGTGAAGAATCTTAAACAAGTGAATGCGCGAGAAAAATCTGAGTCGATAGATGTAAACGATCAAAATGAGCATACTTTCAAATCAATCAATAGCAATGTTTCTGTTAGTGATTGCCCTGAATTTGACAGCTTTGTCAATTCAAATGAGCGTAACGAAAGCGAAGGCATCTCAAAATCTGCTGAAAATGAATTGAATCGACATCAGTTTTTTCCACAATGATAGAACAAGACGAAAATGGATTTCCTACTCTCTAAGTAAAGGCAGCTTGTTTTGCATACCATGCATACTGTTCACAGATAAATTTTGCTTTTGTTTTAACAACTTTATTGGCATTCTACTCAGTTAAAATAATGAAGAAATAAAAAAATAAAATTAACACGGTAGAGATGGCTAAGTTACTTTCTTTTTTATGAAAATTCATGTTTGTGTTTTGTAAAATAAAAATAACTAAAATACTTATAGCTATAAGAAAAGATGAAAAGGGCGCAAAATTTGTTTTGGCCACCGCATTAAAAACTATGCCACAACGCCACAACCTGTGATGAAACTTTCCTGTCACATTATCAACAATGAAACCAATGGCAACAATCAGCTTAAGTTGAAATGACAAAAGTTCATTTGTTTTTAGTTAATGGCTACCATATTGAGCTAAAGGTAACTGCAAATCTACCTTATGTAACACGCAAAAATTTGCGTGATCTGAGATCCTGACACGCGTGTCTGAGTGTCAGATCACTCGAGTTCAATTTTGCGTTACGTGATTAAAAAAAATAAATAAAGTCACCAAAAAAAGATTAACGGGAAATTTGGCAAAGATACAGAAGGAAAATTATCGGATTTTTTCTCTTTTCCAGTCTTTTCTTGAGTTTTTGATACTGGGATTTAATGGTGAACTAACAAATGGTAAAGGTTTGAGCTCGGATTTATACGGTCCTAAGAAAGAAAAAAACTACAAGGTTTTTGGTAAATAACATTTTAAAACATAGATTTGTTTACGTTCTGAAGCTCTTCGATTGGTTTTTTATCTCAGTCTCATTATAGGTTATTAAACATTTTTAAGAAATTTCAACACATCAATGTCGAAAACGTCTGCATTTATCACTGTTTGTTAATTTCTTTTTTCCACAAAAACGATTGTTTCAATAAGGTATTACCTTACAAATATTGCTATAAATGACTTGGACAAATTTACATCTTTCTGGAAATAGTTTTTGCATTTTATTTCCAGTTTTGTTTAGCTACTGGACCAGCAAATAAAATAGCAAATAAAATAACTAGCATAATAAAATCTAATAAAATCTCATAACTAGAAAAAAAATCTTCACCGGTGAACTAAAGATGCAGCTTTATACAAAAAAACAAGTCTCTGAGCTAAGTGATGCGAAAAAAATAATAATAATTTGCTTGTAAGCACCATTGAAATAAGCAGACATACATAGGCCAAATCGCAAGTTAATACAGTAATGTAGCAAGTCAATTACGTCAAATCAAACATGTACATTCCGACTGTCATTCCAAAATATAACTTCTTGATTTAACTCGAGAAACACTCCAATCAAATAATTCTTTGTTGGGACCGTCGAAGCATAAGTCAACTCTTATTAATTCAAAATCTGCAATCATCTAAAACCTTTAAAACTCATCTTCTATTATTACGTTTAGACAGTCATTGAATCATATATTGAGTAACCTAATGAGGAGCCTAAGATTATATAATGGTGTGTCCATGTACAATTATAAGAAAACTGCAAAAATTGCTTTTATTACAAAAGCTGTCTTAATATTTCATCATGCCCTCTATATGCATGATGAAGGCAACTCTTGGCCAGACAACAAAGATCAGGATATTTAGCATATTTGCAACCGATCGTAAGCGAGGCAGCACACTATTCTGATAGCCATTTTACTTAATCGACCCAGTCCTTTAATGCGACCTATTAAGTGGTGAACATCTCAATTTGGCGTGTGTCTGTTAACATCTTACCAGGCCATGACGTTACAACTTAGAAGATTTTTTAATGTGGGGAGGGATAATATAAAAAATGTTAAGTTGCGTAGGTATTTTTTGGTTCATAAACATTTGTAACGAAGAGAAAAAATTTGTGAAGAATACTAGCAGATGGAATCACTTGTTTATTTATTTTGCATTTTATGGTCACATGATGAGGAAAATTTTATGTAAGTATGCATTCATTTTCTTTCGACCTTTTATGATTACTTAAAATATCGGTCTGGATATAAAAACGTCAAAAATCACCAAGAATTTAAACGCATGGTGCGAGTTTAACGAAAAATACGATAAAACGCTTGCTCTTTGCGACAAATCTGCGTTCATAGATCAAAGATCATTTAATCGTAGACGGACAGAATCATCGGATGTAAGGTCTTATCAAAATGTTCTAAAAGATATAGTGGAAACTATACTACAGTTGTATAATATTGCCTGTTTCTATTTATGTAAACAGTAAACATGCATGATTTATTGGTTGAGTGAACAAAAAATCATACTCTTCAACAGACAATATGCTGGAGATAAAAACATCTTATCAAAAAAATGTTTTCATTCGAAATAGTAACGAATTTATCTTTAAAATTACTTTGAAATGTGAAATGAAGTAAGATGTAAATCACGGAAGATATTTTTGCCGGAAATCAACCGGTGGCTTTTATAACGCGTGCCTTTGTTTGCGCGTACACGGCGTGCCGGAAGTTGGCTCATTTGACTATGACCTTCGTGGGGGGTATCGGTCCCACTTTAGTATACTTTTGTATTACAAAATCACAGTTTTTGCGTTTTTATTCGCTCTACAAACTTTTGATTCAAGCAAAGTTTGTCTTCTAGGCTTTATAATGGCAGAAAATTGAGATGGTACAAGGTCGACCTGCATTTTTTGAAACAAATTGGAGAATACATGATGCTGCTGCTTCTTAAAAAATGTAGAAATGTTACAGAATCCTACTACAGCTACCAAAATTTTATCTGCAATGACGTTTATGGAAGATTGCTAAAAATTTACTTATTTAACAACACTTTGTTATTCACATCGCTAATACCGTAATAGAGTGATTTTGTAAACACGACGTTTCGTCTAAGACGTCCTCAAATTTTTGCGAGGGACCTGGGTCTAGGACGCAACCACGTCGTAAGGTATTTATGATTTAGCAAACCTTTTGTAGGACTTCGTCAAATGATAGTATGAAACAAGTTTCATCCATTTCGGCATTTCTCCTGCTGGATCGTGTTTTCCGATCATTTTAAATTAATTTTTTGATATCTAAAATATACTGCAGTATATTAATTTCAATAAAATTATAAATAAAACTAAAATCATCGACATACGGCTTTGTGATTAAAATTGTTTTGACTCCGAGGAAACCCCCGAAATTAGAGCAGACCCCGCGTTGTTTATTTGTTTGTTTTTTTTCGCAATAGGAAATAAAATATTCGCAGTTTTTTCTTAAATGAATATACGTAGGCCTATATAATCTTTTAACATGCAAATATCAAAGCTATTTCTTAATTTTTTCTCCAAAAATTTAGTTTATGTCAGCCGTCGTCAATACGACGTCAAATTTTATGTTGTCACGTCG